TATTGTTTTCTATTCCATTTCTCATTTTGGTTTTTGAGTCTTTTTTTTTTTTTCTTAGTTAATACAGTTAAAGCATTGCCAATTTTGTTTTTGTTTTTTTTAGAAAAACTGGTCATTACTTTCAATGTTATTATTTATTCTGGTCTCTATTTTATTTATTTCTGATTTTTGTTATTTCCTTCTACTAAATTTCAGCTAAGTTTCTTCTTTTTCTAGTTCCTTGTGGTGTAATGTTGCTTATTTGAACTTTTTTTCTTAATACAAACATTTATAGCATAAATTTCACTCCAGCATCTGCCTTTGCTGCATCCCATAGATTTTGGAATATTGTGTCTTCTTTTTCTTTTGTTTTGAGAAATATTTTGATATGCCATTTGTTTTATTTGCTCCATTGTTTGTGCAGTACTGTGTTAATATTTACATATTAAATATTTAATATCTACATTGTAGATTTTCAGCTTTGTTTTATTGTTGTACCATTGTAGTTGAAAAATATACTTGTGATGATTTCAGTCTTCTCAAATTTGTAATATTTATTATGTTTCTTTTTTATGTGATTTAACCAGGGGATTTTTCTGTGTGTATCTGAAGAAAATGCGTATTTCTATTTTTCTTGGAGGGAATGTTTTATATATATCCTATAGAACCATGTATTCTGAAGTATTCAAGTAAAAAAAATGCTCTTGTTGAAGAAAAGTAATCATTACTTTAACTGAGGGTACACATTGAAAATAAAGCATATCAGAGGAAAGGTGAGTGGGGGATGGGTGAAAGAGATGAAGCAGATTATGAGTACATGTATCATGATTAGCACTGAGTAATGGTGTACAGAATTGTTGAGTGACTATATTGTATACCTGAAACCAACATAACACTGTATATTAACTACACTGGAATTAAAATTAAAAACTTAATTAAAAAAAATATTAGAGGGGTGCCTGGGTGGCTCAGTCTGTTAAGCGTCCGACTTCAGTTCAGGTCATGGTCTCACAGTTCATGAGTTCGAGCCCCGCGTTGGGCTCTGTGCTGACAGTCAAAGTCTGGAGCCTCCTTCGGATTCTGTGTCTCCCTCTCTCTCTGCCCCTCTGCCGCTCATACTCTGTCTCTCTCAAAAATAAATAAAGCATTAAAAAGAAAATTTAAATAATAATAAGTTTCAACTAATGTGTTTCAAAATATGTTTAAGCAAGTGTAATAGTAGTAATTGTGTAAGAAATTGCATTTGGATGTTTTGCCTATTCTTTAACGTGTTTGAAGTGGTCACAATAACCAAACACATGTAATTTAGAAAAAAATTTTAATGAAACTTAACTGATTGCAATATCTGTCAAAAGTTACAAAACAGGGGCGCCTGGGTGACGCAGTCCGTTAAGCGTCCGACTTCAGCCAGGTCACGATCTCGCGGTCCGGGAGTTCGAGCCCCGCGTCAGGCTCTGGGCTGATGGCTCAGAGCCTGGAGCCTGTTTCCGATTCTGTGTCTCCCTCTCTCTCTGCCCCTCCCCCGTTCATGCTCTGTCTCTCTCTGTCCCAAAAATAAATAAACGTTGAAAAAAAAAATTAAAAAAAAAAAAGTTACAAAACAAAAGGATTTTTACAAGTTTATCTTATGTTTTTAATTTTTAAATTGAGTATTAAAATATATGTGCAATAAATATAAAAAATAAAATGACAAGTGGTCCGTAGTTTAATATAAAAGTACAGTTATATTCTCCTTTTTCAAGAAAGATTGTCAAACTACTATTTATATTATTACCCTAGTGTAGCTAGTATATACTTTTACCTTTAATGTAACTATAAATACTTTTTAATAGTACATTTTCCCCTTTAAAACATCTCTGTGTAAAGAAATTTTCCAGCTATTTCTAAAACTTTTTTTTATCAAGGTATAATTTGTACATAACATTGTACCAGTTTCAGGTGTACAACACAATGATTCATATTTGTATATAGTGTAAAACAACCACAGTAAGTATAGTTAACATTCATCACCATACATACATATATATACCATACATGAAACTATATTTTATATGACAATCCGCATTTGTAGCAAGATAGGGAAAACCTCAGTTCTAAAATTGGAATTGCTTACAACAGAGAAAAAGACCATTTTTTTTAGGTATAGCAATTCAAATGACATTTTAGAGTGAAATATTTCCCTTCTCATGTCTTCCTTTATGCTTCATCATTACCGAATTTCAAAAATATTAATGATGTGATGATTAAAAAAATCCAAGGATGACAGCCTTTAGAGATATTGATAATAATAACTGACATTTTCAAAGTACTTTGTGATTTACACAGTTCTTTAATATAGATTGTCTCATTTAATTATCACATCACTCCCTAGGAGTTAATAATATTATGTATAATTACTCCCAGTTTAACATTAAGAAAACTGAGTTAATAAGTAGCAGAATAATGGAAGCCAGGTATTTGAACCTTAAGTTTGATACTCTTTCCATGGCAACTCTCTTCTCCAGATAAATATTAACCTTATAGCTACATGATTTCTCTAACTTTTCTAGATACATCATTAAATGCTACCAGTATTATCAGGACAATATATAACATATCTGTAAGCCCAACTCTTTTTACATACTAAATATTCTTATTAGAAAAAAATATTTAACATCTACACTTACCTTGCCTCAAAAAATAGCTGTAAGGGGCGCCTGGTGGCTCAGTAGGTTGAGTGCCTGGCTCTTGACTTCAGCTTAGGTCATGATCTCATGGTTTGTGAGACTGAGTCCTGTGTTGGGCTTTGCACTGTGAGCACAGAGTATGCTTGGTATTCTCCCTCTCCTTCTCCCCACCCCAACCCCTCGCCCCTCCTCTCTCTCAAAGTAAATAAAAACATTTTTAAAAAATCTTTAAAAAATAAGTTAAAAGAAAGAAGTAGCTTTAATCCTGAAAAGGAAAACTTTAGGGTAAATTCTATAAAGGGAATCCCACATTTATTACTAATTCCTATTGGAAAAATACCTTCAAAAGTCAAATTGAAAAACCTGTGTGATAAAACATTACAATTTGGGGCAAACTTGTAGTAAGACAGTAGTAGTTGGTAATATTTACAAAACATTTTCTAAGAATATATCCAAAAATTAGGTGCCATGAAAGTACAAAGTACTTAATATTCACTCAATGACATAAATATTAGGAATCTACTAAGGGTCAGGCATCTTTCCTTCAAATTTTTCATGTCAAGTAGATTAAAACAAATAAATATTTTTCTTTTCTAATCTGTTAAAGTTTAATTATATCAAATAACATAGATTTGAGAGAGAATCAGAAGCCATTGAAACTAAAATTACACTTTAATAAATATAGCAAATCTTATATACATTTAGTAATCTGATATTTTAGTAAACACAAACAAGAAACAGATTTCATTTGAGTGATATCTGTTTAGATTATGAGCTAATAATTTGCAAAGGTAATAGTTTATATGGTTTTGATTATAGCTATTAAATATGATATTCAATAATAAACCAGTGATCAACAATGGTTATTTAATGTCACTATGGCAAAACTCATTGAACAAAGAGATTCTATCTATTCAAAGGAACATTTACAAACTCAAGCAATAATTCAAAGGAGATCAGGAACTGAAACAGTATGCCAAGCATCACTCTGAAAAATTTGCTGTGTCAAATTCCCAGTGCATCCATTAGGTGTCTATACAATAACACAGTGAGCAGCAGGGCCAATAGTGCAAACCACTTCTGAGAAATGAACTAAGAATAGAGAGAATGCTGGTTCTAGTGACTTATCATTCCATGGATCATCATACACTTCTCTCTAAAACATAAAATATCAAACAGTATACCCATAGATAGTATGAAATTTGTACAATGTGTAACAACTTTCTATGAGTGTAAATACTAAGTGAATAAATGATCATACAAATTATCTTTTATTCTTTTATTCACCACGACCTTTTTTTTATTTTATTTATTTATTTACTTTGAGAGAGAGAAAGAAAGAAAGAACATGACCAGGGAAGGGGCAGAGAGAGAGGGAGAGGGAGAGAATCCCAAGCTGGTCCACACACGACACAGGGCTCGAACTCACAAACCATGAGATCATGACCTAAGCCAAGAGTCATATGCTTAACCAACTGAGCAACGCAGGCACCCCTCACCACCACCTTTTTAAAAGTAGCTTATCTTAAAAATTTTCCTCACTTTGCAATACAAAGTTTTGTTTCTTTAAACTTTTTTACAAAGATTTTAAAATATTATGTTCCTGTATGGTAGTTCTACTTATCTAATGTTTGGTTTTAGTATGATTCTTTAACAGAGAAAACTGTATGTTTAATTAAAAAATGAACAAAGCATGAACTTTCTCTACTTCATATCTAAGCATTGATTTTCCATCTAATATCATCTTAGATGAGTAGATTCATCCCTAGTCAACACATTCACATATGTATCTTTGCCAGAATAACAGTGCTTATCTAAATTTGTTCGCCAAAACTGCATGTCTTCCTATAATTTTAGAAAGAAAGATTTGGCTTCTGTCAAGTTTCTTCTCTATGCATAAATTCACGCTAGGAGATTATAAAATAGCAGTTTCCTTTGGGGAATTTTCAAATACTGAAATTTCTCTAGCGAGAAATACACTATCTCCTTCCTTCCTCTCTGCCTTCTATAAATTTACTATAATTTCAGAGATTAGCTTATCCTCATAGGGGAAGATTTCACAAACCATGAAAAGACTATGAAAAACATAAGAAAGTAAATGCCACATAATAAATTAACATCTCCTATACAACTCCCTGCATTCAACTCTTGCTAGTGGGTTGCAATTGTGAGAGTTCTGATCATCAGTTCAATTAACTTGCTAGTGAAGCCTGTCACATTCTTTCTAACCAGAATTTAAATAGAATTCAGTTCAGAATTAAAGCTCTGGTACATTAACCACGTGTTAGCTTCATTCAGCTCTTTACTTCTATTTGGTCCAAAAGAAAAAAAAAAGTCATTTAAAAATTAACATACTCAGCTGCCTGTTTGTAGTGTTTCAAGTCTTTCTTCAAATTTTTGTTCTCATTTTCTAAAAGCATATTCTGGGTGTAGACATCTGGAACATTCCCAAGATCTCTAAGTTCAGTTAGTCCCTTCTGTATTAACTCATACCTAGGATAAAATCAAACAAAAGGTTTTATGTTGTTGCTTTCTACTAAACTGGTTTAATTTATGTACAATTCAAAAAGTTCTCCTAGGGGATATTTATAGAATTGATTTGTGGCATTAATTTTATAAATTAAAATGTCCACATTTACAATATATATTTAAAATAACAAATAATTAGTTGCTAGGTACTCATATCATCATAGTACATAAAATATAACCAAACATCTCATATGTTCCAGGCACTAATTCACTAATTCACTAACACTGGTGAAATTAACAAAATGGTCCAAGCCCCCATCTGTTCTAGTGTGCATAGTGATATGTTCCATGAAGTAAAATAAAGCAGGATAAGAGAGATAGAGAGACTAAGATAGAGACTGATGGGGGTGTTTGTGCTATTTTACATAGGATGAACACAGAAAGTATGATTGGTAAAGTGATATTTGAGCAGAGAACTAAAAGAAATAAAGGACTAAGTCATGTAGATATGAAGGGGGAGAGCATTATTGGCTGACGGAAGAGTAAATGTAAAGCCCTGAGAAAATGAGATGCTTGACATGTACCTTAAAAAGCAAAAAGCCAGAGCAAGGGAGAGAGTGGTGAAAAATGGGTCAGGAAGACAGCAGGGAGCCAGAGAGAAAAATATGATTTTACTTGAATCAGATTGAAGCCATTGGAAGGCTTTGAGAAACAAGTTACACTGATCAGATTTATGTTTAAAAGGATTAGTCTGGCATCTCTTTGAAGAAACTAACTCTACAGGAGCAAGACTAGAATCAGAGATGCTGGTTAGGAGCTTGTTGCAATAGTTCAAAAGAGCAACAACAGTGGCATGAACAAAGTTGGTAGCAGTAGAGATTATGAGAAACAGGTCCCTTCTGAACAGGGTGTAAAACCAGGGCCAACTTATTGGTGAAGCCAAAAAAAATTTTCTTATGAATCAGCTGCCAAGCATTGGTTAAAAAAGTGGTCAAAGATGACTCCACGGTTTCTGGTGGAACAACAAACATCCATTTATGAAGATGGGAATGAATGCAGTAGGAACTGGGTGATTGGAGAAATAAAGGAATTGCTTTTATTCATATTAAATGCATTGCAAGTGAAGATAAATACTGGGAATAAATGTCAAGAGTTCAGGGGAAAAGTCAGGACATGGAATTCAAACGTGGGAATCATCAGTAAAGAGATACTATTTAAAGTTACAAGACTGTTGTTGAAAGTGCTGCTATAAACACTGGGGTACAAGTGCCCCTATGCATCAGTACTCCTGTATCCCTTGGGGCAATTCCTAACAGTGCTATTGCTGGGTCATAGGGGAGATCTATTTTTAATTTTTTGAGGACCTCCACACTGTTTTCCAGAGCGGCTGCACCAGTTTGCATTCCCACCAACAGTGCAAGAGGGTTCC